GTCAACTGTGGTTCCACTGGACCAAGTCAAGCACCACATGCTTCACTCCCTCCTTTACCACCAGACCTTGTCCATGTTTCTCCTGTTCAACAGGGTTTATATAACTGACGTACCCCGGGCAATGATATTTGTCTGTATTTAGCTCCTGGAGCATGATGTCATCAAAATCAAAAATCAACCTCTCCAGTACAGGACCTCTCTGCCTAGCACTCCGACCGTTCTAGTATCCAACTCTTACATGAGTAAAGCTTAATCTCTCCGCTTTTCGTCTTGTTCTCCGAGCACCTGCCCTCCTATTGCTATGCCTTCTTCTCTCTCCATTTCCTCGTCGTCTCCTTCTCACTCCCTCTTCACTAACCTCTGAATAATGTGTCAAGCGCAGAGCACGTGCCCTGTAGCTCCGGCGACGATTCCTATGTATATTTTTTAAATCCATACGAAAAAAATAGAGTACTGCAGGAAATGACCGGTCACCCTAGTTTGGCCTGCCTGCTAGGGAAGGGGCAATGGATGTCCCGTAGGAGTCCATACGCCTGGTGCCGCCTCGCACGCCAGCCAGACGTCCAACGTTCATGACCACCTTACCCGTGGCCATCCAGTTCCTCAGCACGTTGGTCCACCTTGAACTTGGGGGTTTAAATTCGGAGTTTGCCGTCTCCTAGATTAATACGTTGGTCTCCCCATGTACACACCGGTACACACTAGCTCGCTTCTGATTAGTCGACCTCCAGCCTACCTCACTTTTGATAGGTCGGCCTTGAGCGATCCGACTTTCACACAAGGTCACAGGGCTATTCCGCACTGGCGCTGATATCTAATGTTGTATATTGCACCATGCCAGAGCTTTTAGCACTACAAAAACATTTATATACTGGGTCTAACACACAACACCCTCCTCCTCCCCCCCCCCCCCCCAGAGAGTGACGAAACCTATGTCAAAGGCCGTCTTTTACTTTGAATAAAAACGTAAATGCAAGACAACAAAAGACCGCAACACCCATAACCTCGACCAGACTACTCCTACAAACTCATCAGTGGAGTTGACCTACATTTGGTTGGGAGACTAACGTATTAAGAACCGGAGATGGGACTGCACCGGTAAAATGTCCCGCCTCACTGACAGACGTTATTGTTGCAGTACTAGCCAAGGTAAACAGGAACTCGCCCACAGGGGCGTGTGGAACACTTGTGACATGAGGTGAAAGGTTGGGGGTCACACTCTGAGAATATAACCAACAGTAAGAAGCCACCAGAAGATCAGTTAACCTCATTGCTGTTTTTAACCTCGTTGCTGTTTTTAACCTCGTTGCTGTTTTTAACCTCATTTCTGTTTCTTTCATCTGAAAATTGATTTGTATTAATTTCACGGAAACCAACGTGGTGTAGCAGCTAGATACTCACCACGGGTCCCTAAAGCCGTAGGATCGATTACCAGTTTATATGATGGATTACTAGTTTATATGATGGATTACTAGTTTATATGATGGATTACTAGTTTATATGATGGATTACTAGTTTATATGATTGAATACCAGTTGATATGATGGAGTACAAGTTTATATGATGGATTACCCGCTTATATGATGGATTGCCAGTTTATATGATGGATTACCAGTTTATATGATGGATTACCAGTTTATATGATGGAGTACCAGTTTATATGATGGAGTACCAGTTTATATGATGGAGTACCAGTTTATATGATGGATTACCAGTTTATATGATGGATTAACAGTTTATATGATGGATTACCAGTTTATATGATGGACTACCCGTTTATATGGTGGATTACCCGCTTATATGATGGATTACCAGTTTATATGATGAATTACCCGTTTATATGGTGGAATATCAATGTCTGAGGTGGTTACCAGTTTAAATGATGCTTGCCTGCATATCCGAAGGTCAAAGGTTAAAACACGAAGGAAACGGGACTTTTTGAAACATGACCCTGGCGCCCAGGTCGACCCAGCCTCAAATCGTTACCAGGTAAAGTCATGGGAAGCAAAGGTGGCGGGCATGACTACAATCCCTAATAAGTGCCGATTGATCTATACAGTATTAGTTTAGCTGTACATGTGCAATATGCTTGAGGGAGTGGAATAATGACCTTTATATGTTTATGAGGTTGGTGACCAGTGCACTTGTTCTATTTGTTCCTTGTCATTTACATCTGTCCCTCTGATTTTAGCAGACCTGGCTCCAGCCATAAACTAACAACCACTTTGTAGTCAACAGAAAATAGTTGTTGGACAAGTTACAAATGAGTCATTCAGACACGTGTCCATGTAACTGAAACCAGAGTTAATAAACCATACAAGTTTTGTTGGATAAGTTACAAATGAGTCATTCAGACACGTGTCCATGTAACTGAAACCAGAGTTAATACACCATACAAGTTTTGTTGGATAAGTTACAAATGAGTCATTCAGACACGTGTCCATGTAACTGAAACCAGAGTTAATACACCATACAAGTTTTGTTGGATAAGTTACAAATGAGTTATTCAGACACGTGTCCATGTAACTGAAACCAGAGTTAATACACCATACAAGTTTTGTTGGATAAGTTACAAATGAGTTATTCAGACACGTGTCCATGTAACTGAAACCAGAGTTAATACACCATACAAGTTTTGTTGGAAAAGTTACAAATGAGTCATTCAGACACGTATCCATGTAACTGAAACCAGAGTTAATACACTATACAAGTTTTGTTGGGTAAGTTACAAATGAGTCATTCAGACACGTGTCCATGTAACTGAAACCAGAGTTAATACACCATACAAGTTTTGTTGGAAAAGTTACAAATGAGTCATTCAGACACGTGTCCATGTAACTGAAACCAGAGTTAATACACCATACAAGTTTTGTTGGATAAGTTACAAATGAGTCATTCAGACACGTGTCCATGTAACTGAAACCAGAGTTAATACACCATACAAGTTTTGTTGGAAAAGTTACAAATGAGTCATTCAGACACGTGTCCATGTAACTGAAACCAGAGTTAATACACCATACAACAAGTTTTGTTGGATAAGTTACAAATGAGTCATTCAGACACGTGTCCATGTAACTGAAACCAGAGTTAATACACCATACAAGTTTTGTTGGATAAGTTACAAATGAGTCATTCAGACACGTGTCCATGTAACTGAGACCAGAGTTAATACACCATACAAGTTTTGTTGGATAAGTTACAAATGAGTCATTCAGACACGTGTCCATGTAACTGAGACCAGAGTTAATACACCATACAAGTTTTGTTGGATAAGTTACAAATGAGTCATTCAGAGACGTGGCCATGTAACTGAAACCAGAGTTAATACACCATACAAGTTTTGTTGGATAAATTACAAATGAGTCATTCAGACACGTATCCATGTAACTGAAACCAGAGTTAATACACCATACAAGTTTTGTTGGATAAGTTACAAATGAGTCATTCAGACACGTGTCCATGTAACTGAGACCAGAGTTAATACACCATACAAGTTTTGTTGGATAAGTTACAAATGAGTCATTCAGACACGTGTCCATGTAACTGAGACCAGAGTTAATACACCATACAAGTTTTCAGATCAGTGGCCGCCATTGTTGTCCTACAGAACAGGGTCATTGTTGAATAAACGGTAAGGCGGTGAAGGATTGGATAACTTATTCAGGAGATTCACTTTGTTGTATGGGAGCTGACGGTTGGTATGATAAACAAGCTTCTACCGAGTCACAATGGTCTAGTGTTTGCTTGACTAACTCCTTGTTCATTTTCTAAATTATTCACATCTTGTCTCTGTGAAGTGGTGATACGTTTCAGTCACTTTATGCTTGATTGATCAGGTGATTGGCAATCTTCTGGTAGGCTGAGTTTTAACTGTTGAAGTAGGAAGTCATCTGAACATAAAATTGTCTTACCTACAGTGGAGTAGAGCTTCTACAGAGAGTGTTTTTTTTTTTTTATTTAGATCTGGTAGTGAAGCCAAATCCATGGGATATGTGTCGTAAAGGTCTCTTTCCTCCCTCCAAGCTGATAAACCAGTAAAGTGTACAATACAGACATCACAAAAACATCACATCAGGAGACAGACATCAGAACATCACACCTGCAGACAGACATCAGAACATCACATCTGCAGACAGACATCAGAACATCACATCTGCAGACAGACATCAGAACATCACATCTGCAGACAGACATCAGAACATCACATTTGCCGACAGACATCAGAACATCACATCTGCGGACAGACATATCCAAATGTATCCAAGTGATGACTGAACAGCTCATGACAAGTGGGCTTGTTGCTGGGAGACCTCGCCTGGGAATGTTTCCATAGCGACTGATGATTTCATTGTTAATAGACTCCCAGCTTACACCCAGAGAACACGTTTGTGTACACACTAGCTGCTTTTTTCTTGTGCACAGTAGTCACTACTCTTTACAGTAGTTCAGTCATATCTGACTTGTACAGTAGTTCAGTCACATCTGACTTGTACAGTAGTTCAGTCACATCTGACTTGTACAGTAGTTCAGTCACATCTGACTTGTACAGTAGTTCAGTCACATCTGACTTGTACAGTAGTTCAGTCATATCTGACTTGTACAGTAGTTCAGTCACATCTGACTTGTACAGTGACTATTTTTTTTGTATAAACCTTTGCTTTGCACTGCATCATGCATATGTGCAGACATGCACAAATGCAGACATGCACACACCCACAGCCACACACCCACCCACCCACACACCCACCCACACACCCACCCACACACACACACACATGCACACACACACACGCACACACACCATGTAACACCACACTCATACAAACATATCCAAGCCATCTGTTTTCAAACAGCACTTGTTTAATACTTGTAGTATAGATATAGCTCAGTAAATGGTGTGAGAAATGTTTTCAAACAGCACTTGTTTAATACTTGTAGTATAGATATAGCTCAGTAAATGGTGTGAGAAATGAATGAAATATGTTTCTGTGATCTGACAGGGAGATTATGAGGGAGATCCAGCGTCTGAGGCTGGAGCAGGAGGCTTTTGCGCAGGAAGGTGGAGACAGCAGCCAGTACAATCCCACCCTGCTGACAGAACTGAGACTGTTGAGACAACGCAAGGATGAGCTGGAGGCTCGCATGCAATCCTTGCAGGAGTCCAGGAAAGACCTGATGGTGCAGCTGGAGACATTGATGAAACTGCTCAAAGTAAGAGATGAGTCCACTCTTTCATTGATGAAACTGCTCAAAGTAAGAGATGACAGTTAGATGAGTTCACTCTTTTATTGATGAAACTGCTCAAAGTAAGAGATGACAGTTAGATGAGTCCACTCTTTCATTGATGAAACTGCTTAAATTAAGAGATAAGAGATGAGTTCACTCTTTCATTGATGAAACTGCTCAAAGTAAGAGATGAGTCCACTCTTTCATTGATGAAACTGCTCAAAGTAAGAGATGACAGTTAGATGAGTTCACTCTTTCATTGATGAAACTGCTCAAAGTAAGAGATGACAGATGAGTCCAATCTTTTTATTGATGAAACTGCTCAAAGTAAGAGATGAGTCCACTCTTTTATTAATGAAACTGCTCAAAGTAAGAGATGACAGATGAGTCCACTCTTTTATTAATGAAACCGCTCAAAGTGAGAGATGACAGATGAGTTCACTCTTTTATTGATGAAACTGCTCAAAGTGAGAGATGAGAGATGAGTTCTCTTTCATTGATGAAACTGCTCAAAGTAAGAGATGACAGATGAGTCCACTCTTTTATTGATGAAACTGCTCAAAGTAAGAGATGACAGTTAGATGAGTTCACTCTTTCATTGATGAAACTGCTCAAAGTAAGAGATGACAGATGAGTCCAATCTTTTTATTGATGAAACTGCTCAAAGTAAGAGATGAGTCCACTCTTTTATTAATGAAACTGCTCAAAGTAAGAGATGACAGATGAGTCCACTCTTTTATTAATGAAACCGCTCAAAGTGAGAGATGAGAGATGAGTTCACTCTTTTATTGATGAAACTGCTCAAAGTGAGAGATGAGAGATGAGTTCACTCTTTCATTGATGAAACTGCTCAAAGTAAGAGATGACAGATGAGTCCACTCTTTTATTGATGAAACTGCTCAAAGTAAGAGATGAGTCCACTCTTTTATTAATGAAACTGCTCAAAGTAAGAGATGACAGATGAGTCCACTCTTTTATTAATGAAACTGCTCAAAGTGAGAGATGAGAGATGAGTTCACTCTTTTATTGATGAAACTGCTCAAAGTGAGAGATGAGAGATGAGTTCACTCTTTCATTGATGAAACTGCTCAAAGTAAGAGATGACAGATGAGTCCACTCTTTTATTGATGAAACTGCTCAAAGTAAGAGATGACAGATGAGTCCACTCTTTCATTGATGAAACTGCTTAAAGTAAGAGATGAGAGATGAGTTCACTCTTTCATTGATGAAACTGCTCAAAGTAAGAGATGACAGATGAGTCCACTCTTTTATTGATGAAACTGCTTAAAGTAAGAGATGAGAGATGAGTTCACTCTTTCAGGCCCATGAAATTTCACGGGCTTGGCTCACATTAATTACCCTTCACAAAAAATAGCAGAGGGATGGTGTTTAAAAAATGCAGTAGAGAATGTAATATATTTCTAATCCCTATAAAAGTATGAATTTTTTTTTGAAGAGGAATGAATGTATATCTTAAATCAGGTGATATATTTTTGTTTAATTCTGTTATAATTAGTAAGGAAAAAGAATTCCGCAGGTGTTATGTTTACAAAGAAAAAATTTTACCCCAAAAATCTTCACTTACCATAGTTTTGCAGCCACAAGAGCGGTGAATATCAACATTTGAGAAGAAAACTTTAAAGTTTCTTCAGTTCCTTATAAATTCAAAAGTTATGTGCCATTTTTGGGTCAGTTTCTCACTCAGAGGCTCTGTTCTTATAGATGCAGAACAAAATTTCAAAGAAAAAATGGCAGAAAATTGGACCTATATATAGTCCAACACACGCCAAAATATTGACTTTGTTGTAGCTGCAATAATTTTAATGCAGGTTAGCTTTAGTATAAGAATGGTACTGTCTGAAATAATTCTTTGGAAGCAAATGTGGGTGACTAACATATCCTTTGCTAATAAAATCGATGATCCTGGATTTACCTGATTAAAACAAATAGCTGACCTCTCAGCTGCTGTTGGTGTACATTCACCATCCGAATCACTTTTAAAAATGTTTTTAAAAGGCACATTTTTCTGCCAGTTAAACAGAAAAAATGCAATGTCTGAAAAATGACATTAACAATGAATCGGATCAATCTGCGCCCACGTGTGTGTGAATGTAGACCTGCATACAGAGAAAAATGCTAGAGTAACCTTCCTTAAATACTTTAATGGAAGTTCCGGAGATTATAAACAAATCGGGAGCTGTTTTTGAATCAATATGTACAGGACTGTTTGTGAATCAATATGTACAGGTCTGTTTGTGAATCAATATGTACAGGTCTGTTTGTGAATCAATATGTATGGGACTGTTTGTGAATCAATATGTATGGGACTGTTTGTGAATCAATATGTACAGGACTGTTTGTGAATCAATATGTACAGGACTGTTTGTGAATCAATATGTATGGGACTGTTTGTAAATCAATATGTATGGGACTGTTTGTGAATCAATATGTACAGGACTGTTTGTGAATTAATATGTATGGGACTGTTTGTGAATTAATATGTGCTGGACTGTTTGTGAATTAATATGTACAGGACTGTTTGTGAATCAATATGTACAGGTCTGTTTGTGAATCAATATGTACAGGACTGTTTGTGAATTAATATGTGCGGGACTGTTTGTGAATCAATATGTGCTGGACTGTTTGTGAATTAATATGTATGGGACTGTTTGTGAATCAATATGTGCGGGACTGTTTGTGAATTAATATGTTTGGAACTGTTTGTGAATTAATATGTACAGGACTGTTTGTGAATCAATATGTACAGGTCTGTTTGTGAATCAATATGTACAGGACTGTTTGTGAATTAATATGTTTGGAACTGTTTGTGAATTAAAATGTATGGAACTGTTTGTGAATCAAATGTATGGGACAGTTTGTGAATCAATATGTACGGGTCTGTTTGTGAATCAATATGTACAGAACTGTTTGTGAATCAATATGTACAGGACTGTTTGTAAATTAATATGTACGGGACTGTTTGTGAATTAATATGAACAGGACTGTTTGTGAATTAATATGTACAGGACTGTTTGTGAATCAATATGTACAGGACTGTTTGTGAATCAATATGTATGGAACTGTTTGTGAATTAATATGTACAGGACTGTTTGTGAATTAATATGTACAGGACTGTTTGTGAATCAATATGTATGGGTGTTTGTGAATTAATATGTACAGGACTTTTTGTGAATCAATATGTATGGAACTGTTTGTGAAATAGTATGTACAGGACAGTTTGTGAATCAATATGTATGGAACTGTTTGTGAATTAATATGTACAGGACTGTTTGTGAATCAATATGTATGGAACTGTTTGTGAATTAATATGTACAGGACTGTTTGTGAATTAATATGTATGGAACTGTTTGTGAATTAATATGTATGGAACTGTTTGTGAATTAATATGTATGGAACTGTTTGTGAATCAATTTGTACAGGTCTGTCTGTAACTGAATGAGTTAAAGTGACATCTGTGTCTGTAACTGAATGAGTTAAGTGACATCTGTGTCTGTAACTGAATGAGTTAAAGTGACATCTGTGTCTATAACTGAATGAGTTAAAGTGACATCTGTGTCTGTAACTGAATGAGTTAAGTGACATGTAGATCTAGAACTGATTGAGTTCAAGTAACATGTAAATTTTTAACAATTTGAATTAATGAAGTGCCATGGGGAAAAAAGGGGGAGGGACATTACAATTAAATGAGTTAATGGAGCAAGGAGGAGGGACATTACAATTAAATGAGTTAATGGAGCATTCTAATTTAAATTTGGTGCTGCAGGGTAGGACTCAAATGTAGGTCATAAACAAGTGCCTCAATAAACATAGTCATTGGTGACAACAGGCATGCTATCCCCGCTCTACCACCAAGCAGGCATGCTATCTCTGCTCTACCACCAAACAGGCATGCTATCTCCGCTCTACCACCAAACAGGCATGATATCCCCGCTCTACCACCAAACAGGCATGCTATCCCTGCTCTACCACCAAACAGGCATGCTATCCCTGCTCTACCACCAAACAGGCATGCTATCCCCGCTCTACCACCAAAAAGGCATGCTATCCCTGCTCTACCACCAAACAGGCATGCTATCTCCGCTCTACCACCAAACAGGCATGCTATCCCTGCTCTACCACCAAACAGGCATGATATCCCCGCTCTACCACCAAACAGGCATGCTATCCCTGCTCTACCACCAAACAGGCATGCTATCTCCGCTCTACCACCAAACAAGCATGCTAAATACATGACACAAGCATGATAAATACATGACACGAGCATGATAAATACATGACACAAGCATGATAAATACATGACACAAGCATGATAAATACATGACACAAGCATGATAAATACATGACACAAGCATGATAAATACATGACACAAGCATGATAAATACATGACACAAGCATGATAAATACATGACACAAGCATGATAAATACATGACACAAGCATGATAAATACATGACACGAGCATGATAAATACATGACACAAGCATGATAAATACATGACACAAGCATGATAAATACATGACACGAGCATGATAAATACATGACACAAGCATGATAAATACATGACACAAGCATGATAAATACATGACACAAGCATGATAAATACATGACACAAGCATGATAAATACACAGTTACGAGATTGATCAGAGGATGTAATGATACCTTTCCTTGTCTGCAGACTCACCCAACCTCTCCCAGATCCACCCCAAACAGCTCACCTCGATCTCGAAGTGGACTGTCTCCCACCTTCTCTGCAGCACTGGTCAACAGGACGGCCACATCTCCTGGTGAGTACAAACAGAATGCACGCACGTGAGAGTAATGTAGAGGCAGAAAGACAAAACAGTCAGGCAGAGAAGCAATAGGAAACAGAAATATTGAGATAAAGAGAGGCATGAAAGAGAGAGAGAAACCAAGAGAGAGAACGAGAGTGGAGAGAAAGAGAGAGAAACCAAGAGAGAGAAAGAGAGTGGAGAGAAAGAGAGAGAAACCAAGAGAGAGAAAGAGAGTGGAGAGAAAGAGAGAGAAACCAAGAGAGAGAAAGAGAGAGAAACCAAGAGAGAGAAAGAGAGTGGAGAGAAAGAGAGAGAAACCAAGAGAGAGAAAGAGAGAGAAACCAAAAGAGAGAAAGAGAGTGGAGAGAAAGAGAGAGGAACCAAGAGAGAGAAAGAGAGTGGAGAGAAAGAGAGAGACGGGAGGTGGGATAGGGGGAGGGGTGGTTCAAAGTTGTTTATAAGGTTTGATTATACCAAGTAGCTGGCCAAGAACATTAAATAAAAATGTTCCTACATGTTGAGAGATGAGAATCACACAATGTTCAAAGATCTCTACATGTTGAGAGATGAGAGTCACACAATGTTCAAAGATCTCTACATGTTGAGAGATGAGAGTCACACAATGTTCAAAGATCTCTACATGTTGAGAGACTAGATCCACACAGTGTTCAAAAATCTCTGTATGTTCAAATTTGTGAACTGCTGCCTAAGATGAAATTTCTGGCTCATGCTTGAAACCCATGGTTGATCATGTTAACAGCACCAGCAACGGCCAGTGACTTGAACCTCAGTGGTCTCGGAGGGGATGTCAAGCAAGCCTTTACCAGCCTCCCTGCATCTTCAGCTGCCCTGACTCGCACCCTACGCAACGATCTTCTGGTGGCAGCAGATTCTGTGACCAATGCCATGTCTTCGCTAGTTAAAGAACTGCACTCAGGTGAGTGAGCCCTTTAGGACACAGTTTCTCTGTCAGAACTATTATTCTCACATATGTAGGTTATTTTCAGCTATTTCACCCCATCCCATTCCCTGTGAAATTTGGCAGAGAATTCCTGGGTAGTTCTCTGGAAGGTCCTATAGTCTAGGGGTTACTGTGTTAGTCTGTTTTCATTAAAAACCTCATCCTTCTTGGGGGATTCAATTTTTCGTTATTTTGAAGCTCCATCCTAATGGTTAAACGCAGTTTCTGGGACCTCATCAATGGGTGATTTTCATCTGCATGGTGGCACTTTGTGTCACACTGTGTGATGTCTTGGTGGGGTAAAAGTGGCTTACTTACTTAACCTGTTCATTTAGCAGTAACCCTGCATCACTACAACTTCTATGTTCTAGGCTTGTCGTGTGTTGGTTGTTTTTAGCCTATCCATCGTTTATTGCATCCTCATTTCCAGTGTGTGTTACTTTTGTTGGCTAGTCGCCATCACTGTTCCTTGTTTGCAAGTGGTGTTCTTACTTTGTGACTTCACCTCCGCTGTGAATTTCCCTGACCTGTCTGCATTGCTGCTTCTAAACCTGACCCTAGCCAATGAGTATCCATTCATGGTGACTGTCAGTCCTTTTCAGGGCTCTTCCCTGTCAACACCCCAAGATTACCCTTTTCAGGGCCTACCTCTAAATAACCCCCATTCGTATCGCACTGCCTAAAATCTGTGCATGAGAAACAATAGTTCAAGCTGAACTGGTGTTGCTAAGGGAATCACAGACTACAGGGAAGTTCACACTATAGATGACACTGCAGATATAGGTCATCTATTTGTGGTGTGTGAAAGAAGTAGAGGAAGAGGAAACTAACCCTAACCCTCCACCCCCCCTCCAGTGTGTGTGTATGTGTGTGTGTGTGTATATATTAGGGCTGTACCGAATAGTGAATTTCACTATTCGGCCGAATACGATTAGCGTGACCAACTATTCAGCCAAATACGAATACGAATAGTGTAAAGTGTATAAAATATATTTTTAAAAAAAAACATTCATAATGTCATATGTACGCTGAACTTTTACTTCACATAAAGTAGCACAGAAAAGTCATCTTCTTCTAGCAATCTGAGTCCTTGAGGTTTACTGCTGCAGATATCACTCGTCTCCATTCATCTCTCTATTTGGCCTTATTTTCACAATTTGTGACACCAGTTGTTTGCAAGTCTGGCTGGACATTATCTCTCAAATTTATTTTTTGTCTGCCTCATGGTCTATGCACATTCCTCTCTCGTGTGTATACAGTTTTTACTTCTCTGTCATCTGACATTCTTTCAATCTGCCCCAACCATTTTAGTCTGTTGGCTCTCATGATGCCAGTGATCAATGGTGATTTAAACAGATTATGTGTTACTTTGTTGTTTCTCGCTCTCCATTCCCCGCTGTTAGCATCTTTAATAGGTCCAAAGATTTATCATAAGACCGTTTTCAAAAACCTGTAATAAGGCCTCATCTCTTTATTTCTGCTTCAAGTTTCAGAGCCATATAAAACGACTAGTCTTATCAATGTTTTATATATTTTGATCTTAGTGTTGCAAGACAGACAATTTGACTTTAGCAGATGTTGAAGGGCATAGTATACTTTATTTCTAGATTGTATTCTAGATTGTATTTCTTCTCTCAGCTTGTTAGAACAGTTGAAGTTTGCACCCAAGTACTTATATGTTTCCGTTCGTTTGATTTTCATATTATCAACTTGGATGGGCCAGATTTTATATTATTTCCATGTCTAGTTAGTATCCGTACAGAACAGTAAACATTTGAAAACATTTGATGTTTTGCATCCTTCAGTCAGTCTGTGGTAACTAATAAATAGGAATGAAAGAATCCTAAGTATTATAACAAGTAACTAAACTTGTAAATTGTCACTGACAGCTTAGTTAATGCATGAAAGCTGCATTAGCTTTCAACAAAACCAATCATTCCATGTTGTCAGCATTAAGGCCGTGTATGCAGAAGCGGGTGTAAGGTAACTACCATTCGTATTCGGCCCGACCGCAACTATTCGGCCGAATACCAAATAGTCAATAGGTTCACTATTCAGCCCCAAAGTGAATACGTAGCGAATATTTGGTACAGCCCTAATATATATATATATATAGTTGTGCATTGCTGAAGAGAGCTCCACTGAAATAGTAGAGAGTGGAAGACCATACAAAATGTCGGAGCCATGGCACCAAGAACAAACCTTACAGAAATGAAGACTTACTCAAACACCACACAGGAAATAGAGCACAGCACATCTGGACATCTTCTCCTCTACACTTGGCTATGCTAGCTGCAGGAAGACATAGAAACATAGTGGTACCTTGGCATATAACATAACATAACCCTTGACCTATTAGGGTCGTGGAGATGTATTGATGGAAGCACTAGCACATAAAACCCACCATCTTTCTCTGTCTTCTGCTTGATAAATAAATGTTTGATAACTTAGTCTTGTCCATTTCTTGATGTTGTCATTCCAGGTTCTTCTTTGCCCTCCTCTTCTTTGACTACCCCCAATCTTCTTTGAAGTACAGTCTTTGCAATTGAGTCATATATCACCATATGCACAAACCCAGCTAGCTTGCAATGTTTCCCCACTGCCAAGAGAGGCTCCTGATATCCCGCAAATTTGTATAATCTCTCTTTGATGACATATTTATTAGTTTTGTGTTCTTAATAACTAATTTGTAAAATGCATTTATATCTGAAAACGTTAATTCTCCTTTCAATTTCCACAGTGAGAGTCCAACTCTCACATCCGTATAAGAAAATATACAATACCAGTGATCTGTAAATAGTGACCTTGACTGCGATGCTAATTTCAAGGTCAAATTTACAAATCACTGACATTTGTTCACTTTGTAATATGTACATCTTCTCCTTCCTTGTCAGTCTATCATTGGAGACACTCTTCTCAGCAAGGTGGAGATGGGTTATATTTTGTTTATTTCATCCAATTAGTTTTGTATTTATTTGTTTTTATGTTAAGCATAAATCTTTCCAGTTGTTACAATGTGCTTCGATTTTTCTTGTCTCTCAGTGCTGCCAAACATGACAACTGTCTTTCCTTGTCTCTCAGTGCTGCCAAACTTGACAACTGTCTTTCCTCGTCTCTCAGTGCTGCCAAACATGACAACTGTCTTTCCTTGTCTCTCAGTGCTGCCAAACATGACAACTGTCTTTCCTTGTCTCTCAGTGCTGCCAAACATCACAACTGTCTTTCCTTGTCTCTCAGTGCTGCCAAACATGACAACTGTCTTTCCTTGTCTCTCAGTGCTGCCAAACTTGACAACTGTCTTTCCTCGTCTCTCAGTGCTGCCAAACATGACAACTGTCTTTCCTTGTCTCTCAGTGCTGCCAAACATGACAACTGTCTTTCCTTGTCTCTCAGTGCTGCCAAACATGACAACTGTCTTTCCTTTTCTCTCAGTGCTGCCAAACATGACAACTGTCTTTCCTTGTCTCTCAGTGCTGCCAAACATGACAACTGTCTTTCCTTGTCTCTCAGTGCTGCCAAACACGACAACTGTCTTTCCTTTTCTCTCAGTGCTGCCAAACATGACAACTGTCTTTCCTTGTCTCTCAGTGCTGCCAAACATGACAACTGTCTTTCCTTGTCTCTCAGTGCTGCCAAACATGACAACTGTCTTTCCTTGTCTCTCAGTGCTGCCAAACATGACAACTGTCTTTCCTTGTCTCTCAGTGCTGCCAAACATGACAACTGTCTTTCCTTGTCTCTCAGTGCTGCCAAACTTGACAACTGTCTTTCCTCGTCTCTCAGTGCTGCCAAACATGACAACTGTCTTTCCTTGTCTCTCAGTGCTGCCAAACATGACAACTGTCTTTCCTTGTCTCTCAGTGCTGCCAAACATGACAACTGTCTTTCCTTTTCTCTCAGTGCTGCCAAACATGACAACTGTCTTTCCTTGTCTCTCAGTGCTGCCAAACATGACAACTGTCTTTCCTTGTCTCTCAGTGCTGCCAAACACGACAACTGTCTTTCCTTTTCTCTCAGTGCTGCCAAACATGACAACTGTCTTTCCTTGTCTCTCAGTGCTGCCAAACATGACAACTGTCTTTCCTTGTCTCTCAGTGCTGCCAAACATGACAACTGTCTTTCCTTGTCTCTCAGTGCTGCCAAACTTGACAACTGTCTTTCCTTGTCTCTCAGTGCTGCCAAACATGACAACTGTCTTTCCTTGTCTCTCAGTGCTGCCAAACTTGACAACTGTCTTTCCTTGTCTCTCAGTGCTGCCAAACTTGACAACTGTCTTTCCTTGTCTCTCAGTGCTGCCAAACTTGACAACTGTCTTTCCTTGTCTCTCAGTGCTGCCAAACTTGACAATTGTCTTTTTATGATGTTTGTGATAAGTTTACTTTCAAACTTAGCCTGTCTGAAAATGTTTAAATTACTCTTTTTGGTTATGGAAGGAATTTTAAGCATGCTTCTAAAGAACCACATCACTGTGGTGATGATTTTTGTTTATTTATTTGTACATGAGTCGGTGTCTGTGGTTTTTGGCATTGTGAACACAGTTAGGTAATTCTGAAATACCAGTTTTGATTCTAGCTGCAGACTCATTTGCATTGATTTCGACACGGTTTTGACGGCAAACTGTACAGAAGCAGTGGCACGCTAGTGAATTACATACAATTGCTCAATGAATCATAAACAGCCAAAAAATTCTTGGTTTTGCCAGATGTAGTAACGGATGCCCAACTTTTCGTTTGTGTGTGTGTGCATGTGTGTGTGTGTGTGTGCATGTGCACGTGCATATGTGCGTGCATGGGCACGCCGTGCATGGGCACACGCTTGTGTTCCCTTACTGCTGAACCACTATCAAAATCCAGGTTGATGATATGTTTGTGTGTGTGTGTGTGTTTACAGATGATGGCAGCGAGGGAGATGATGATGATGATGAACAGTTAGAAGCCCAGCTCCGTGGTGAGTTCAGTATTTACCTTCCATCTCTTCTTACAACTTCCTCCATGATTGACTTCTGCCATTCTTTACCAGCAGTAAACTATCTTTTATGTGTGTGTATTTGGCTATTGACTAGTTTATGCTGCTGTTGTTGTCTCCTGTCATTTATTTACTTGATTTTTCTGCATGGTCTTTTGCAAATAAAATTAGTTATTATTTTAGTACAATTATTTTTGTTGAAACATCTGATATTCAAGCCTTGTTTTTTTGTTTCTGAATTTTTATTTGTAGTTTCTTTATTTCCCATCAAGATTAACTCTTTCATTCTGTGTGTATCCACTTGAGTCTGAGCATTAGGATTTTATATCATTTATGTCCATGTTCCAGCTGCATTTCCCAACTGTATCCTTCTCATGTTCATTGTCTTTATCTTTGTCTTTGGCAAGTGACCTCAAGTTACATTAAACCCTGAACCCACAAGTAAAAGCTGGACTGATGCCAATCACAAAACTCAGTGAATTTGTGCTGCAAACATGAACATCATGAAATTTGTGCTGCAAACATGAACATCATGAAATTTGTGCTGCAAACATGAACATCATGAAATTTGTGCTGCAAACATGAACATCATGAAATTTGTGCTGCAAACATGAACATCAAAGAATTTGTGCTGCAAACATGAACATCAAACAATTTGTGCTGCAGACATGAACATCAAACAATTTGTGCTGCAAACAAGAACATCACAAAATTTGTGCTGCAAACATGAACATCATGAAATTTGTGCTACAAACATGATGAAATTCGTGCTGCAAACATGATGACATTTGTGCTGCAAACATGAACATTATGAATTTGTGCTGCAAACATGATGACATTTGTGCTGCAAACATGAACATCTTGAAATTTGTGCTGCAAACATGATGACATTTGTGCTGCAAACATGATGACATTTGTGCTGCAAACATGAACATCATGAAATTTGTGCTACAAACATGGACATCATGAAATTTGTGCTACAAACATGAACATCATGAAATTTGTGCTGCAAACAGGATGACATTTGTGCTACAAACATGATGACATTTGTGCTGCAAACATGATGACATTTGTGCTGCAAACATGATGACATTTGTGCTGCAAACATGATGACATTTGTGCTACAAACATGATGACATTTGTGCTGCAAACATGATGACATTTGTGCTGCAAACATGAACATCATGAAATTTGTGCTGCAAACATGAACATCATGAAATTTGTGCTGCAAACATGAAAATCATGAAATTTGTGCTTCAAACATGAACATCATGAAATTTGTGCTTCAAACATGAACATCAAACGATTTGTGCTGCAAACATGAACATCATGAAATTTGTGCTGCAAACATGAACATCATGAAATTTGTGCTGCAAACATGAACATCATGAAATTTGTGCTTCAAACATGAACATCATGAAATTTGTGCTTCAAACATGAACATCAAACAATTTGTGCTGCAAACATGAACATCAAACAATTTGGGAACAAGCATCAAAGAGGGGTGTGTGTATGAATTTAGGAACAATAGTTACTTTCATACAGAGGAAGATCTATGAGAATATATAAAAAGAAGTTACATAATTTTAACAGAGGGAAGTTATGTGGGGAAGAATGAAGGCGACTAAAGTGTTTATGACAGAAGACATTAAAGAATCAAGAGTCCTCAAGGATAAATGAGAAGAATGAGTGGCAGAGCAGAATAAGTCAATCAGTGGCCAGAAATTCACACAGGCTGTCCCAATTCAGATTGCTTTTAATTCAAAACAGTCTTTTATATTTGCTCATTAACAACCACATATTTATTCTTCAGTCAAAAAACAAGTCCTGTTTTATAGCAAGAGAAATATAACAATGTTTAAAAAAAACCATTTTGTTTTAAAACGGCAATCTATAATTTCTCTCCAAACAGCTTTGTTTTCCGCAGCCAGTCTTGTGTGCTTTGTTCTTGCTTGTTTTAACAGGGGAAATAAAAATCAATAACCCAGAAACAATATTTATAGCAATGGATGGATGACAATACTGACATTCTGTTGGCAGTTTCTCTCTCTTTTTTTGTTTCGTTTTTTTTTTCTTGCTTTTAAGAATTATTGCCACTTGAAGTGTTTAGTTTTTAAAAAAGAAGTCTTGGTTTGAGTCGTGCTAAAGCAAATTTGTTGATGACTTCTTCCACATCATCTGGGCATTGCAAAGCTTCCACTCATTTTATAGTTGCATCTACTGTTGCTGAAGATGGTTATAGTTATCTCCCTTTGTAAAGTATTCGTGCAATTTAACTCTTTCTGGTCATTTCTCGATTGAAGTGGCAGCAGAATCTTTAACGTAAAGACATGTCCTCATTTAAGTGGTTCTCGACATAGACACTCTAATATTGTTTCGTTTGCTAGGAAAACAAATGTGTATGAGCATGTTTTAAGAAACTAGAATTTGTGACATAAAATATTAGCATTTTTGAAGTGTGGGCGAGTAAAAGGATTAAGTTTCTTGTTTTGCTTCAATTGAATCAGTACAACACAATTTGTGTGTGTGTGTGTGGCGTGCGTGCGTGCGTGCGTGTGTGTGTGTGTGGCATGCGTGCGTGTGTGTGTGTGTGTGTGGCGTGCGTGCGTGCGTGCGTGTGTGTGTGTGTGTGTGTGTGTGTGTGTGGCGTGCGTGCGTGTGTGTGTGTCGGATTCATTGCACTTAGTAATTTCATGAGGTATCTGAGTCTCTTTCTAAAGGTCATGTCAGGAGTATCTCAGCACTCTGAATGAGCTCCATGACACCGGTGAAGATACAGGTGTGTGTATACCAGGATCACAGATGCTATAAATATTGCAATAAATTCAGCCAGCTTGTTTTAAGTTCCAGCTGATGTTTGTCCTTGTGGGAAAAATCTCGACTCCCCAGAAGTAGGAACACTATTCATTTTCTACCTGAGTATAAGCAAAATGCACATTCCATACCATGAGCTGAATGAGATGACTCCCCAGGAGAAGGCTGACTATGCTATTCATTTTCTACCTGAGTATAAGCAAAATGCACAATCCACACCATGAGCTGAATCAGAGGTGGACATCATAACCTCTAAACCATTCCTCCACTTAACTAATCTTGTTGACCAGGTTTTTAAATGGGACAGCCAGGGAGATTTCATGTGATCTTTCCTGGCACATGAACAGAGCAAGTTTGGGGACCCAGTCACAGTCAAGTTGAAACCTCGGCTAAGAATAAGACTTATCTAATCATAGCAGCAGCTAATCATTCACTACCTGATTCAATCCACAAACAATCACTGACTGCCTGATTCAGTCAACAAACAATCAGTGATGACATCTGCAATCAGCTCTTCTTCTTCTCATTCATGAATGTAAACTGTGGTGCAAAGTTCTGGTTGTTTATCCACTTCTGGACTTTAGTCTCATTCCATAACTTGAGTTTTGCATGCACATCCAAATTTGCAGATCTGCTTTATTTGTATACATACTGTCTGTTGCTCGCCTTCAACAAACAGTCACTAACTACCTTTTCAATCAGCAAACAATCACTGACTACTTGATTCAATCAGCTAACAATCACTGACTACCTGATTCAATCAGCTAACAATCGTTGACTACCTGATTCAATCAGCTAACAATCATTGACTACCTGATTCAATCAGCTAACAATCATTGACTACCTGATTCAATGAGCTAACAATAATTTACTGTTTCAAGTAATGAAAGCCCATTTACTTGATATAAGCAAATAAGCTATAGTGAACATTGGCCTAGGTCTACTTTGTGCTAGGTCTACATTGTGCTAGGTCTACATTGTGCTAGGTCTACATTGTGCTAGGTCTACATTGTGCTAGGTCTACATTGTGTTAGGTCTACATTGTGTTAGGTCTACATTGTGCTATGTCTACATTGTGCTAGGTACATTGTACTATGTCTACATTGTGCTAGGTCTACATTGTGCTATGTCTACATAGTGCTAGGTCTACATTGTGCTATGTCTACATTGTGCTAGGTCTACATTGAGCTAGGTCTACATTGTGCTAGGTCTACATTGTGCTAGGTCTACATTGTGCTAGGTCTACATTGTGCTAGGTCTACATTGTGCTATGTCTACATTGTGCTAGGTCTACATTGTTCTAGGTCTACATTGTACTATGTCTACATTGTGCTATGTCTACATTGTACTATGTCTACACTGTGCTAGGTACATTGTACTATGTCTACATTGTGCTAAGTCTACATTGTACTATGTCTACATTGTGCTAGGTCTACATTGTGCTAGGTCTACATTGTACTATGTCTACATTGTGCTAGGTCTACATTGTGCTAGGTCTACATTGTGCTAGGTCTACATTGTGCTAGGTCTACATTGTGCTAGGTACATTGTACTATGTCTACATTATGCTAGGTCTACATTGTGCTATGTCTACATTGTGCTATGTCTACATTGTGCTAGGTCTACATTGTGCTATGTCTACATTGTGCTATGTCTACATTGTGCTATGTCTACATTGTGCTAGATTTACATTGTGCTATGTCTACATTGTGCTATGTCTACATTGTGCTATGTCTACATTGTGCTATGTCTACATTGTGCTACATTTACATTGTGCTATGTCTACATTGTGCTATGTCTACATTGTGCTAGGTCTACATTGTGCTATGTCTACATTGTGCTATGTCTACATTGTGCTAGGTCTACATTGTGCTATGTCTACATTGTGCTAGATTTACATTGTGCTAGGTCTACATTGTGCTAGGTCTACATTGTGATAGGTCTACATTGTGCTAGGTCTACATTGTGCTAGGTCTACATTGTGCTAGGTCTACATTGTGCTAGGTCTACATTGTGCTAGGTCTACATTGTGCTATGCCCACTTTATGCTAGATCCACCATATGTTCCATAAGGATTCTAATTGTGAGGACTCTTCTGGACTTTGCTTGTCCCTGGACTTGCGATTCACAATCACATTGTATGAGTTCAGCATGGAACCAATGTTAGCAGCACCAGTATGGAATAATGAATCAATCACGAATCCACTCAAGAATCGACTCAACATTCATGCATTCCTTCACAACAATGTGAACTAATTAAACCACATTTTGAATAACGTGGTTCGAGAAATTTTTTTATTACATTTTGTTTTGCGACCAATCATTGCAACATAAGAATAAATGATTTGTTTTTTAAATAGACATTTTTATTTCAGAAACATTGAAATTTCATTGAATATCAACAGTTACAAATTATCTTTTAACACTAAATAAGTATATATAAATATAAGACCTTTCTCATCTTAATTTTCTTGTTTTAGCTTTGTTTCTACAAGTTTTTTTTTTTTTTTTTAAATACCTTGAATAATTCCTAATGAATATTCCATGTTTCTTAGCAAGTCAAATAAATCAAATATGTGACCCTGGTCTGAAAACAAACAAAACTGAAATTAGCACTTTCATAGGTTTATTTTTTCCTTGCTGCTACAGAGAGGAAGCTGTCAGAATAAATAATAGAAGTATCAGAAGAGAATTAACCCAGAAATACCCCAGCATGAGATTGAGTAGTGCTCTCTTTAGCATAGTCTAACAAGGAAATTAAGATATAACTGCTTTCTACCATTTCCAAAAAAGATATCTATTGATATTCAAACATTTTTTAAGCATTTGGAACTAATTTCAGATTAAAAGAGGGTTATCTGTCTAAAGATTTTAAAGATTAAGCTTCCACAGTATGTTTTTCTAACGCACTAAGATTGTTTATTTTCGGAACCAGCTAATGTGCATGTTATTTGCTTTGCCATTTTCTGCATTGACTGTCTATAAATAGACCAGATTGGATCTATCTCTGGCAATTATCTAAATGTAAGGTCTAAATTAAGCAACTGGAAACAAATTCAAATTAAAAAAAAAAAATATGTATTCTGTCATTTGGTAAATTAAATAACTGTAAAGAAACCTTAATGTGCCAGTATTTAGTTTTCTTTTCAAGCTTTTTTTTTTGTCTTATCATTTTCATATGATCTTTATACACACTGCATATGTTCTCTTCTTCTGTCTTCAACCTATATGTTTGGTTTTTTCTGTATAAGCTTATCTTATGTCATCTTTATTTTATTATATATATGTAGTTTTTTTTTCCCTATTTCTATCATCATATTTATGTGATTTTTTTTGTTTTCTATTGTGTCTGTCATTTTGTCTTGTTATAACCTGTATTTATAAGTGCAAATTTCCTGCAGTCTTCTAAATGTGCTTTTCTCCTGTGATACTGCAATGTTTATTTCTTCCCTTTAATAGTTTATGTATGAAAGTGAGAGAGAGAGAGAGAGAGAGAGAGAGAGAGAGAGAGAGAGAGAGAGAGAGAGAGAGATAGTAGGATAGAGAGAGAGAGCAACATAGAGAGAGAGAGAGAGAGAGAGAGAGAGAGAGAGAGAGAGATTCTTATTCTGTAATATTGTATATCTGCATGTATTCCATGTTTATTTCTAGTTGGTCAGCATGATGTTGTCCACAACACATACCAAGTGCTAATTGGTCTAAAAAGAAAGGTCTAGCCCTATATGCCTGTTACACCAAAGTTGCAGAAAAGGGTCCTTTACTTACATTACTTTTTATTTTTCTTCTGGTAACAATGTTTCGGTTTCTTGCTACAGCATTTGTGTCTTTCTCCCTTGTAATTTGTAGTTGTTAATGGAAGGGGGAATCCGTACAGGGCAGATATACTGAGTTGAAGGAGTCAGAGGCAGTGAACTGCTTAGAGGAAGTATGTTTTAAACCAGAACAGGCCTGAAAAACTGGCGGGGGGGGGGGGTTTAAATAAGAAAAGGCATGCAGAAACTAGTAGGGCGGGGCTTAAAGGAGAACAGGCATGAAGAAACTGGTGGGGGCGGGGCTAAAAAAGAAGATATACTTCCCATCCATCCATTTATGAAAAACAAAACCAAAATTTGACCAGTTTAGCCTGCTGGGAGTAGTATCAATGATATTCCCATCAACTGCTACTGGGTATGTTGGGCAAAGAGACACTCACATGGCAGTTTTGTCAGAGGCTGGAGCACAAATGGGTTGGACTGATGTGCTAGGTTGGACTGATGTGCTAGGTTGGACTGATGTGCTAGGTTGGACTGATGTGCTAGGTTGGACTGATGTGCTAGGTTGGACTGATGTGCTAGGTTGGACTGATGTGCTAGGTTGGACTGATGTGCTAGGTTGGACTGATGTGCTAGGTTGGGCTGATGAGCTAGGTTGGACCAGTGTGCTAGGTTGAACTGATGTGCTAGGTTGGACTGATGTGCTAGGTTGGACTGATGTGCTAGGTCAGACTGATGTGCTAGGTCGGACTGATGTGCTAGGTCAGACTGATGTGCTAGGTTGGACTGATGTGCTAGGTTGGACCAGTGTGCTAGGTTGGACTGATGTGCTAGGTTGGGCTGATGTGCTAGGTTGGACTGATGTGCTAGGTTGGACTGATGTGCTAGGTTGGACTGATGTGCTAGGTTGGACTGATGTGCTAGGTCAGACTGATGTGCTAGGTCAGACTGATGTGTTAGGTTGGACTGATGTGCTAGGTTGGACTGATGTGCTAGGTTGGGCTGATGAGCTAGGTTGGACTGATGTGCTAGGTTGGACTGATGTGCTAGGTTGGACTGATGTGCTAGGTTGGGCTGATGAGCTAGGTTGGACTGATGTGCTAGGTTGGACTGATGTGCTAGGTTGGACTGATGTGCTAGGTTGGACTGATGTGCTAGGTTGGACTGATGTGCTAGGTTGGACTGATGTGCTAGGTTGGACTGATGTGCTAAGTTGGACTGATGTGCTTAGTTGGACTGATGTGCTAGGTTGGACTGATGTGCTAGGTTGGACTGATGAGCTAGGTTGGGCTGATGTGCTAGGTTGGGCTGATGTGCTAGGTTGGACTGATGTGCTAGGTTGGACTGATGTGCTAGGTTGGACTGATGTGCTAGGTTGGACTGATGTGCTAGGTTGGACTGATGTGCTAGGTTGGACTGATGTGCTAGGTTGGGCTGATGAGCTAGGTTGGACTGATGTGCTAGGTTGGACTGATGTGCTAGGTTGGACTGATGTGCTAGGTTGGACTGATGTGCTAGGTTGGACTGATGTGCTAGGTTGGACTGATGTGCTAGGTTGGACTGATGTGCTAAGTTGGACTGATGTGCTAAGTTGGACTGATGTGCTAGGTTGGACTGATGTGCTAGGTTGGACTGATGAGCTAGGTTGGGCTGATGTGCTAGGTTGGACTGATGTGCTAGGTTGGACTGATGTGCTAGGTTGGACTGATGTGCTAGGTTGGACTGATGTGCTAGGTTGGACTGATGTGCTAGGTCAGACTGATGTGCTAGGTTGGACTGATGTGCTAGGTTGGACTGATGTGCTAGGTTGGACTGATGTGCTAGGTTGGACTGATGTGCTAAGTTGGACTGATGTGCTAAGTTGGACTGATGTGCTAGGTTGGACTGATGTGCTAGGTTGGACTGATGAGCTAGGTTGGGCTGATGTGCTAGGTTGGACTGATGTGCTAGGTTGGACTGATGTGCTAGGTTGGACTGATGTGCTAGGTTGGACTGATGTGCTAGGTTGGACTGATGTGCTAGGTCAGACTGATGTGCTAGGTTGGACTGATGTGCTAGGTCAGACTGATGTGCTAGGTCAGACTGATGTGCTAGGTTGGACTGATGTGCTAGGTTGGACTGATGTGCTAGGTCAGACTGATGTGCTAGATTGGACTGATGTGCTAGGTTGGACTGATGTGCTAGGTTGGACTGATGTGCTAGGTTGGGCTGATGTGCTAGGTTGGACTGATGTGCTAGGTTGGACTGATGTGCTAGGTTGGACTGATGTGCTAGGTTGGACTGATGTGCTAGGTTGGGCTGATGTGCTAGATTGGACTGATGTGCTAGGTTGGACTGATGTGCTAGGTTGGACTGATGTGCTAGGTTGGGCTGATGTGCTAGATTGGACTGATGTGCTAGGTTGGACTGATGTGCTAGGTTGGACTGATGTGCTAGGTTGGACTGATGTGCTAGATTGGACTGATGTGCTAGGTTGGACTGATGTGCTAGGTTGGACTGATGTGCTAGGTTGGACTGATGTGCTAAGTTGGACCGGTATGCTAGATTGGACTAGTGTGCTAGGTTGTTGCTTCAGACAACAGGTAACAAGTAATGAATGAAATGTTTCCATTAGCTACCATGTTTGCTTCTGGTTCATGACACCAGCTAAAATATCTGGACAGAAATCAGTTGTGTACTTCTTCCCTTTTCTTTTAGAAATATCTTCTCTGGGATCATCTGAAATGTCACCAGTGGCATATAAGCCATGCTTGAATCTTGCACATTTCAGTCATGCACACAAGTATTATTTGTGAATATCAATCTACTGTCATCAGAACTAAAGCTGCATGATGAGAGCCTGTCCAGGTCAGCAGGCGCCGAAGACATAGACATGGGCTGGAGTTTAGATGATCTTCACTGGCGCATGAGACAGGAAGCTGAGTTCCTGGCACAGTTGCGTGCCAGGCGGCACATGGGCAGTGCAACTTCTAGCCAGACCACCAGTGATAATGAGCAGGATGGGTATGTGTTTTCATAATTCAACAGTTCAAAATTAATTTATATGGTTTTATAATTGAACAGTTTAAAAAAAAAATTGTATCTGTGAACATAATAGAATAATAATTATTAGAAGTGTTCATTAATTGATCATTTGTAATCTACAGATTAGTCAGACTGTGGGTCGCTATCCACATTTGCTACTTGAATCTTTAAACTGTTGGTGTTTGGTAAGCTATAGGTGGTTGTTAAACTATTGGTGGTTGGTAAATTATTGGTGACTGATAAACTATTGGTGGTTGGTAAATTATTGGTGACTGATAAACTATTGGTGGTTGGTAAATTATTGGTGACTGATAAACTATTGGTGGTTGGTAAATTATTGGTGACTGATAAACTATTGATGGAAATACACAAGGATCAGTGATCCAGGGCTGTAGATGTCCGATCTCTCTCGCAGTGGAGCAACACCAGCTGTTCTGTCTCCAGAGCTAAGTCTAGCACTATGAGTACTTGTACTTATAGGGTGAAAGCGGCACACTTAGGTTGCACGCTCTTTGATCAGAAAATCTTTTCTACAGTCAAGATCGTTGTGTGTGATCGAAGAGGCACAAATCACAATGGATCTAGAGGAGACAACCTCGATAAAAAAAACCTAAGCCTACAGGAGACGTACGTGCCTATGGACTAAATGACTGTGGGTTATACAGTCATGAACGTCGAACGTCTGGTTAGCGGGTGGGGAAGCGTAAGACATATGGACTCTGTCAGGACATCCCCTGCCTCATCCCTAGCAAGCAGGCAATACTAGAGTGACCGTTTACTTCCTGCACTGAAAGATTGTTTTCTGTGGATTTTATATTAAACAATACAAAGAATCATCACTGGAGCTACGAAGGGCGTGCTGTGTGCTTGATACCATCTTCAGATGGCAAGGTACAGAGTCGGAGGAGAAGACAAGGAAATGAAGTAGGGAGAAGGACAAGAAATAGGAGAGCTGGAGCCCAGTTGTGGTAGTGCCAAGCACTGTACTGTAGAGACTGATTGATGACTTTGATATCATCATGCTGCAGGAATTAAACACATAGATAGATAGAAGTGTCCTGGATGTATTAGTTACACCGATCCTGCTGGACAGGGGAGGCGTGGACAGTGTCTGCTGGTGAAAACTTGGTTGAAGCATAGAGTTCTTGACCTGGACCGGTGGAATCATAGTTCACTAGAGGTTCAGGGTATACAGATAGATCATGGGGGAACAACCTGAAATTTTATTAAATGTTCATGCTGTTGTTGAATCTCTTGTCACAAAGGAACATTGGGACAGGCTCAAAGAGTTGGAGGAAATTCCTGGTAATAGGCTTCTCATCTGTGGGGATTTCAGTGCGCAGAACAGAGCATGGGATAGTAGTGGGGAAAATAGGCAAGGAAATGCTTGAGCACAGCCTATGGTGGATACAGAGGTGGTCTGTATAAATGACGGTAGGCCAACTAGAATGGCAATGAGACCTGGTGATGCAGACACGGCTATTGATTTAGCGTTTGTTACCCAGTCGGCAGTGCTGGACACAAAATGGAGTCTCCTAGGTGATCATGGCAGTGATCGTATGCCATGCTCAGTCTTGGTTTCTTAAGCTAGCAAGGTCAGAGCTGTGAGACCGCGCCAGACTTTTTAGTATGATAGGGACAGTGCCCTTCTTGGACGCCTTCGACAGAAAGTATCAGCAGAACCACGATCTCTGCTTTTGTGCAGCCTCCATGGTGGATCCAAGAAGTAGAACAGGCATGGAGAGCAAAGCGAGCAGCAGTTGAGAATTTACAGAAAGTGCGAAAGGCACCCTACAGGTTACAAGAGGATGTAGAGAGGCTAGAAAGAGTTAACAAAGAAAAGGTAGAAGCTTTCAATGGTGAGTGGCTAATTTTTGGGGATTGGTAAATTTTTTGGTGGTTGGTAAACTATTGATGGTTGGTCAACTATTGGTGGTTGTAAGTTATTGTTACACTTTTTGACACTCTGGGTAGAAGAGACTAAACTCTACTCTAAAGTATTACTACACTCCAGGTAAAATAGACTAAACTCTGTTCTAAAATATCAGTCCAGTCCAGATAGAATAGACTAAACTCTGTTCTAAAATATCACTACAGTCCAAATAGAATAGACTAAACTCTATTGTAAAGTATCACTACAGTCCAAATAGAATAGACTAAACTCTATTGTAAAGTATCACTACATTTAGGGTAGAATAGACTAAACTGAAGTATCACTACAGTCCAGATAGAATAGACTAAACTCTGTTCTAAAGTATCAATGCAGTCCAGATAGAATAGACTAAACTCTGTTCTAAAGTATCACTACAGTCTACATAGAAAAGACTAAACTCTACTGTAAAGTATTACTACAGTCCAGGTAGAAAAGACTAAACTCTACTGTAAAGTATCACTACAGTCTAGGTAGAAAAGACTATATTATACTGTAAATTTCCTCTACTCTCCAAGTGGAGGAGATAAGATTAAACTGTTCTGTAAATAATTGTTACACTGCAAAGGTGACTGATGAAGCGTTTGTGTGCACTGTTGTCAGTTGTTTCAACATTGTCTGTTTTTGTCTAGTTACCCTGATGCTGTTGATGGAGAGTCGTACTCAGCCAGGACAGATGATGACAGTTACTTGGGTGCTGATGACATTTCCTGTCATGGAGAGCGACTCAATGACATTCTAAGTGTTAGCATGAGAACAGATGATGCTGTGGCTGACCTTCCTGATGTCATGACAAAGGTAGGCTCTTAGATTTGAACAGATGAAAATTTCATATCAATGACCACGGTAGCCCAGTGCTCCTGCCACTTGATCCCTATCAGCAAGTTGACCAAACATAAATTGGGTACCAGGAAACTTCCAGGGAAGTCAAGGTAACTGGTCAGATATTGAGGATGTCACTCACTGAATCCTAAATAGGCTCACAAAAAAAGGGTGCTAAAAGATTGTGCCATTTATGGATTATAATTTGAATTGGTAAATTAGGTTTCCATTTTGCAAAAGTCTACTGTGCCATAATCAAATACAAGGCCTCTTCTATCACATGTTATCACTGCTCCAAGATATACAGATCAAGATCTCTTCTATCACATGTTATCACTGCTCCAAGATATACAGATCAAGATCTCTTCTATCACATGTTATCTCTGCTCCAAGATATACAGAACAAGGTCTCTTCTGTCATATGTTATCTCTGCTCCAAGATATACAGATCAAGGTCTCTTCTATCACATGTTATCACTGCTCCAAGATATACAGATCAAGGTCTTTACTATCACATGTTATCACTGCTCCAAGATGTACAGATCAAGATCTCTACTGTCACATGTCATCACTGCTCCAAGATGTACAGATCAAGATCTCTACTGTCACATGTTATCACTGCTCCAAGATGTACAGATCAAGATCTCTTCTATCACATGTTATCACTGCTCCAAGATATACAGATCAAGATCTCTTCTATCACATGTTATCACTGCTCCAAGATATACAGATCAAGGTCTCTTCTATCACATGTTATCACTGCTCCAAGATATACAGATCAAGGTCTCTACTATCACATGTTATCACTGCTCCAAGATATACAGATCAAGGTCTCTACTATCACATGTTATCACTGCTCCAAGATGTACAGATCAAGGTCTTTTCTATCACATGTTATCACTGCTCCAAGATATACAGATCAAGGTCTTTACTATCACATGTTATCACTGCTTTAAGATGTACAGATCAAGATCTCTACTGTCACATGTTATCACTGCTCCAAGATGTACAGATCAAGATCTCTTCTATCACATGTTATCACTGCTCCAAGATATACAGATCAAGATCTCTTCTATCACATGTTATCACTGCTCCAAGATATACAGATCAAGGTCTCTTCTATCACATGTTATCACTGCTCCAAGATATACAGATCAAGGTCTCTACTATCACATGTTATCACTGCTCCAAGATATACAGATCAAGGTCTCTACTATCACATGTTATCACTGCTCCAAGATGTACAGATCAAGGTCTTTTCTATCACATGTTATCACTGCTCCAAGATATACAGATCAAGGTCTCTTCTGTCACATGTTATCACTGCTTTAAGATATACATAACAAGTTCTTTTCTATCACATGTTATCACTGCTCCAAGATATACAGATCAAGGTCTCTACTGTCACCTGTTATCGCTGCTCCAAGAAATACAGAACAAGGTCTTTTCTATCACATGTTATCACTGCTCCAAGAAATACAGAACAAGGTCTCTTCTGTCACATGTTATCTCTGCTTCAAGATGTACAGAACAAGATCTCTACTGTCACATGTTATCACTGCTCCAAGATGTACAGAACAAGATCTCTACTGTCACATGTTATCACTGCTCCAAGAAATACAGAACAAAGTCTCTTCTTTCACATGTTATCACTGCTCCAAGAAATACAGAACAAGGTCTCTTCTGTCACATGTTATCTCTGCTCCAAGATATACAGATCAAGGTCTCTTTCTGTCACTTGTTATCTCTGCTCCAAGATATACAGAACAAGGTCTCTTTCTGTCACATGTTATCTCTGCTCCAAGATATACAGAACAAGGTCTCTTTCTGTCACATGTTATCTCTGCTTCAAGGTGATCAGATTTATATTTTTAAGAATGTTTTAATCAACTTAAATGTTACAATCATGCTTTCATTTACAAAATGACAATCAATAAAGACAGTTTGCTAAAACCTTTCAGGAGATGACCAGCAGCAGATACACGACAGATGACGACAGTTTCCTGCCAACTGACGATGAGTCATTTATACGAACAGATGACGAGGAAGGTGGGAATACTGACTGGGAGGAGTCGGCCAGACGATGGGTCAGTCGGTGACCTTAGCTCACATTTGTGAATAATCAGCAGTCTGTGTTGCTTCAGTTGGATAGTTTTCTTGACATCTTATTTATGTTTCCAGTCATTCTGGTACAGTAGCAGATTTGGTTTTAGATTTATGTTTGATCTGATGTTACAAATGTAATAGGTAGTCTTAAACTTGGAGAGACTTTCATTGAGTTAGACAATAGATGTTGACTTTTGTATGCATGCCTGAGATAGAACAGTTATGTTTATGTTGTGCAGCCTGCTTCAGGTAGAAAGGCAATGTTTTGTGTGTGTGTGTGTGTGTGTGTGTGTGTGTGTGTGTGTGAGTGTGTGTGTGTGTGTGTGCGTGCGTGCGTGCGTGCGTGCGTGCGTGCGTGCGTGCGTGCGTGCGTGCATGCGTGCGTGCGTGCGTGCGTGCGTGCGTGCGTGCGTGCGTGCGTGCGTGCGTGCGTGCGTGCGTGCTAGGCTTGCTGCCTGAATATGTGATACCAAAAAAACCTGATGAGTTACAAATTTCCTTATTTCTTAGCAATTCCTTATTCAGCCTTTCTTAAAGTTTATGGTTAGGGAAAGCTGGCTGAAAAGAAACAATATATGTGTGCGTGTGCGTGTGTGCATGTGTGCATGCGTGTGTGTTACCTGGGTGTGAGTGTGGTGAAGCATCTCTGTCCAGCCTCTAAGGCTGAGATAGGAGACATGATAACAAACTCCTCATGAGAACAATCACTAGAGCTACTTTGGAGTGGCTGCTGCATCAGAGCACTGAGCATGTATGAGAATGCCCAACAGGCCAACAAATATGCTGATGATTGTGGTGATATAAAACATCTATGATTGAAAATTTAAAGAATGACATATCTGTGACATGGCATGCCAGATCTATGATAGAAATATGTGCCAAATCTGTGACAAACGGGTATGAAAAATCTGTGACAAATGGGTATGCTAAATACAAAATTGTTAATGCCAGGTCTGTAATAACAAGCTATGCCAAATATAAAAGTAAACTGTGCCAAATGTGTGATAGTAATCTATACCAAATCTATGATAACTTGGGTTTTCCAAATATAGTTGTAGAGTATACAAATCTGTGATACTAAAGGGCCTCTTTTCACCCCTTCAGGCTTATTGCGCAGCAGGATTAGACCTTATGGACCAAAGGGTACTTGGTGAGTGATGTGGTCAACGCATCTGTGATACTCGGGTATACAAATCTATATTGCCAGGGTATTCTGGCCTTATTGTACCAAAGTATGCCAAACTTGTGATACAGAGATAGCTGTTTGTATAGCTGATAACAGGGTATGCAATCTAATGTAACCATATAGATTCTGTATACCAAGGTATGCTACATGACAGTATACTAAGGTATGCTATATCTGCCTGTAATAAAGTGCTCACACCCATCTTATAATTCGAAATACTGAAGTAATTTATACTAGGGTATGCTGAACTTGAGGTATCAGGGTAGATGTAACCTATTACAGCAGGGTATGCTGAACCTGTGGTATCAGGGTAGATGTAACCTATTACACCAGGGTATGCTGAACCTGTGGTATCAGGGTAGATGTAACCTATTACACCAGGGTATGCTAAACCTGTGGTATCAGGGTAGATGTAACCTATTACACCAGGGTATGCTAAACCTGTGGTATCAGGGTAGATGTAACCTATGACACCAGGGTATGCTAAACCTGTGGTATCAGGGTAGATGTAACCTATTACACCAGGGTATGCTAAACCTGTGGTATCAGGGTAGATGTAACCTATTACACCAGGGTATGCTAAACCTGTGGTATCAGGGTAGATGTAACCTATGACACCAGGGTATGCTAAACCTGTGGTATCAGGGTAGATGTAACCTATTACACCAGGGTATGCTAAACCTGTGGTATCAGGGTAGATGTAACCTATTACACCAGGGTATGCTAAACCTGTGGTATCAGGGTAGATGTAACCTATGACACCAGGGTATGCTGAACCTGTGGTATCAGGGTAGATGCTACCTATGACACCAGGGTATGCTGAACCTGTGGTATCAGGGTAGATATAACCTATGACACCAGGGTATGCTGAACCTGTGGTATCAGGGTAGATATAACCTATGACACCAGGGTATGCTGAACCTGTGGTATCAGGGTAGATGTAACCTATGACACCAGGGTATGCTGAACCTGTGGTATCAGGGTAGATATAACCTATGACACCAGGGTATGCTGAACCTGTGGTATCAGGGTAGATGTAACCTATGACACCAGGGTATGCTGAACCTGTGGTATTAGGGTAGATGCTACCTATGACACCAGGGTATGCTGAACCTGAGGTATCAGGGTAGATATAACCTATGACACCAGGGTATGCTGAACCTGTGGTATCAGGGTAGATGCTACCTATGACACCAGGGTATGCTAAACCTGTGGTATCAGGGTAGATGTAACCTATGACACCAGGGTATGCTGAACCTGTGGTATCAGGGTAGATGCTACCTATGACACCAGGGTATGCTGAACCTGTGGTATTAGGGTAGATATAACCTATGACACCAGGGTATGCTGAACCTGTGGTATCAGGGTAGATGTAACCTATGACACCAGGGTATGCTGAACCTGTGGTATTAGGGTAGATATAACCTATGACACCAGGGTATGCTGAACCTGTGGTATTAGGGTAGATATAACCTATGACACCAGGGTATGCTGAACCTGTGGTATTAGGGTAGATATAACCTATGACACCAGGGTATGCTGAACCTGTGGTATCAGGGTAGATGTAACCTATGACACCAGGGTATGCTGAACCTGTGGTATTAGGGTAGATATAACCTATTACACCAGGGTATGCTGAACCTGTGGTATTAGGGTAGATATAACCTATGACACCAGGGTATGCTGAACCTGTGGTATCAGGGTAGATGTAACCTATGACACCAGGGTATGCTGAACCTGTGGTATCAGGGTAGATATAACCTATGACACCAGGGTATGCTGAACCTGTGGTATCAGGGTAGATGCTACCTATGACACCAGGGTATGCTGAACCTGTGGTATCAGGGTAGATGCTACCTATGACACCAGGGTATGCTGAACCTGAGGTATCAGGGTAGATGCTACCTCTGACACTAGGGTAATTTACCCACAGATACAAGGGTCCGGTGAACTTATAAAACTAGAGTGTGCTGAATCTCTAATGCTAAAGTAAATATAACCTTTAATACAAGGGTATACTGATTCTATTATACTGGGGTGACCTGAACCTTTGATACTATGGGACACTAAATCTCAGTGTACTCAACGCGTGACAAATAAAATACAGCAGTGAACACAATTTGTGTATATTACTGTATTTCTGTGGTAAATCCTATTTTCTTTTAAAAATTCACTCTAATCACAACTTGCCAGAAAAATGTGTCAATAATTCAGCAGTTTTCCAGCCCCCACTATGTTCCCACTGAGGGTGTTTTTTATATCCCCTGTCCAGTTCTGTCTGGTTCCTAGAGCCCGGTCACCTAGCAGCCTTGACCTTCAATCCAGGGCAGTCTACTTCAGTTTCCAAGACAAGAAGTCATTTAAGACACAGATCTTGTGAAAACTTCACTTGTTTGTTTTGTCACTTTCCTCTTGACCTATGGCAGTCTGTGCAATTTTTTGCAATATTCAACTTAGAAAATCTGGATTTTGCTCTACAGTGATTGTGGAACTCCATTTTTTGTACTGATGTTTAATGTTATTTATATCTGCATTACTGCATCCAGCCTCTTTCTGATTGATTTACAACAAGCTACATTGATGTCAATCATTGACAGGGCCCAGAGTCTCACATCATGAGACATTTTCCACTGCTGTTTTGTTGATTGTTATTTGTTCTTGATATTAGAATCTATATTTACTTTATACTAGGATATACAGAATCTGTGAGCGCTGTATACTAGGATATACAGTATCTGTGAGTGCTGAATACTAGGATATACAGAATCTAATGCCATGACACTGTGAGGCATTCCAGAAGTAAGGAAAAGAAGATAGAGAATCTAGTCATGCTATACACAGATGATCTATATTTGCTGTCGACTAGGATAGATAGAATCTAAGTATTCAAATTTCTAAGTGTACCAGACCAAAAGCATTGATGTCTCAGGCAGACAAATACGCATCCGGCAGACAAATACACATCTTTATGCCAACGTCAACAGTCATTAATTCTGTTTACAGCAAACTCATCATTGTTAAAAATTAAAATTAATTTTTAATTATTTGCCTTGACAGGTAAAAGTTGTCTGGTAGATTTGTTCTAGAAAGATCAGCTGCCATTAATATCTACACATGCGGGAAATAAGTTATATCTTAGGCAGAAGTTCTAGTACAATCATTGATATATATATATATATATATATCAGAGTGTGTGTGTATGTGCGCGTGCATGTGTGCGTGCATGCGTGCGTGTGGGTGCATGTGTGCGTGTGTGCACGTGTACACGTTCTATAAGTTGTGTTAGATGCTTTAGAAAAATCCACGCCCATGATATATAAAATAATTGTAGCTTGTAGAAATATGATGTTACTGTTTATGTTGTCTGCAGTAAATCAGAGACAATGTGTGTACCTACTGAGTGTCCATTGAATGGCATATTTGTCACAGTCACCCAAGTGCTGAATCCTTGTTTGAAGAAAGTCACTTCTCAACATTGAATGGCCCAAAAAAAAAATGGTGTAGTTGCTTGAAAAGTAATACATCCTGTTGACCTTTGTGCATTAAGAACAGACATGTGTACCTTTTGTATGTGGCAAAGTGACAAATAACAGTGCTGAAAATGCACTTTGTTGGTGATTATCGCCACAGTTGTGCTTGTTGGTGATTATTGCCAAAGTTGTGCTTTTTGAGGACGATTGCCACAGTTGTGCTTGTTGGTGATGATTGCCACTGTTGTGCTTGTTGGTGACGATTGCCACTGTTGTGCTTGTTGGTGACGATTGCCACAGTTGTGCTTGCTGGTGATGATTGCCAAAGTTGTGCTTG